AGATTAGGTCAAAGACTTACTGTAATTCTAATTTCCCACACCAACAAGGCTGCGAGAGTGCGTGGATGAAGAGAGTTTCACCGCCTATTTGCTGCTCGCATCAAAGCTTCAGCTCTTAAATAGTTTCATATTTGTTCGTCCTTTTTCCTTCTAAACCAGTGTTTTTGGACCTCTAATATTTGCTCTCACTTAAAGAGAAAGATGTTGAAAAAATAAAATGAAGAACAGCTCTCAATCTTTCAGCTATGTGCCTCCCTTATCCATTTAAAAAAAAACTATTGCTGCTGCCTCTCATGCTATGTAATTTGCCTCTCAGTATTTTTATGTTTTTGTGGTTGACTTCAATTTACAAATTGCCAGAGTGATACAAAAATACTTTGTATCATTCTAATTGGGCTGGGTTGGGTTCTGTCTGATGGCAGGTTAAAGGGCTCTCTGGAGAAGAACTTGCTGCCCGTAATGATATCGTTCTTGCATTGCCTGAAAGGATTAATGCCATCCCAGATGGTTCCTCTGCACCACCTAAGCAATCCGGAGGGTGGGGAACTTCCAGTTCTCGTACAGAAATTAAATTTGATTCAGGTAGTTGTTACTTTATGCCGTTCATTTGATAAGCTTCCAAAATGTGAAATGGGGTATTTTTCTTGGGTATTAGTTGAATTGATTCTCACATCTGGTGAGAAATAGTTTCAACACTATATTTGGTTCCATTGGCAACATTCAACTGTCTGATAACTTGCACATGCTCCAATTGTAGATGGTCAGTATGATGATGAATTTTTCAAGCAAACTGAAGAGTCTAGTCAATTCAGGCAAGAGTATGAAATGCGGAGAATGAAACAGGCACGAGGCGTTTTGGTTTCTTTAAGTAGTTTTTGTATGGATTGGGGAAAACACTTTTGTGTTTCTTGATACTCTTCATACCTCTTCTGAATCATGTACGATGTGGATTTTGACCTTTTGCAGGACCAAGGCCTGGCAGTTATATCTGAAGGTCTGGATACCTTAAAGGATATGGCACACAACATGAATGAGGTCTACCAAATTTTGTTTATGCATTATTGTTTTTTGTCATGCCAAAGATACTGACTCCTTTCATCATGGCACACTTGCAGGAATTTGATAGACAAGTCCCTCTAATGGATGAAATTGATGCTAAGGTTAGAAAATTTGTCATATATTGCACCAAACTGCAGCAATACAAGTCATTTTGACTTGCTATGAATTTGATTTGTCGCAGGTTGACAAGGCCGCATCTGACCTTAAGAACACCAATGTGAGGCTCAAGGATACAGTCCACCGGGTAAATGAGCTTCTTTTTGCAATCCAATGCTCTATGGTTATATTCTCTTATTTGCTCGTTGCAGCAATTCATATACTCAGTGCTCTCGTGTGATTTGTTTTACCATTTTGGGTTGTTTTCCAGATGCGTTCTAGTCGAAACTTTTGTATTGACATCGTTTTGCTCTGTATAATACTTGGAATAGCAGCCTACTTGTACAAGTGAGTTCACTGCTATTTCTCGAATAATTAATCACTCATTCACATAATTGACTGACTGGTGAACTGTTTTCCCTGTGCAGTGTACTGAAGAAATAAACACTTGGAAACTCGTGTAATTGTCTATGATGATGGCTTCCCATTTTCTTGGTGTTTCTGATTTCTGAAAGTCTTGTGTTTTCTCACAGTAAAATTCTCCATATTGAATTCCCACTTTTCTTTTTTCTTTTCTTCTTTGTTTTCCTTTTGTTTCTAAGGACATTTCAACCGAAGCATGTGTATTGGTATATTCTCTGTGCTCACTTATACATGTGCATGTGATTTAACTGTTGGGCTTTGTGAGTCGTTGTGTATTACCATAGTTTTGCAAGTATCAAGTAAATTGTGAGACAGTTTAAATTGCATTACCCTATGTCTGGCTTAACTCTATCTAAACTCAATATTTGTGTTGTAAAAATTTGCACTAGTTCATACTCCGCAATAAGCTTGGATATCGTCTTGATTATAACTAGAAACGGTCCTTGAGACCGAACTTGTGATCAGATTGGTCTTTGGTTTTTAATTTTTTTGGTTGAACAACGACCGCTACAACGTGCATCTGGCTATCTAATTATTAAATTATTTAGAGTGTCATTAGGTGTCTAGTATGTGGGTATTTTTTTCATTTCCTTTTCATAATTCAATACGAATTTGTTGCCACCTTCTGATTTGATGTCATCGCTTTTAGTTTCTCGAAGTAATGCCACCTTGTAGTTCAATGGAGCTTTTGGTGTCCAAGGGCTTGGTCAGTTGGTCATGGTGTGATCATAGTTTGAGAGATGACTATCTCCTTGTTTGTTCTCTTTTTCCTCTTCTTAACTAATCAAACCCCTTTGCCAACTTAGGGTGTGTTCCGATCAATTTAATTTTTCTTACTACTTATTCTTATTAAAATCATATTAAATATAATCATTTTAGATCCAATTAGATCAGACTAGACTAGATCGAATTAGATCAAATCTAAATAGGTCGAATTAGATTCAATCAAATTTTATCAAACCAAATCTCATCATATCAGATCAACTAGATCTAATCAGTTGAGAACTAATCAGATAAGATCTTTTTAGATTAAGTTATATAAAAATTGAAAAAAATGCTAATATTTTTTCTACTATTACATAATAATTATACTAAAATTATTTATGTTACATTATTTAGGGAGGTGTAATTGATCAGGATTCTGATGAATTTTTTTGGATTCCGAAAGTCTGTGAACTCAGATTTTAAAAAGATCTGGGTGTATTCAATTCAGATTTTAAAAAAAAATTTCTAAATATGATGATACTCAAAGATGGATAGATTTTTAAATTTTTAATAATGTGGCTTTTGATGGATTTTCTGTCTTGCTTATAAATACATACATCCAGGTTCCAATTGTGACCAATAGCCCCCAGATTTTGCAGACTCCTCTTGTTCCACACGGATTAGATTTCACGCAACCAGGACCACTTCATATCTTCTCATTCTTCGATCTGTCGGCTGCAACACCAACACACAACGACGATGGGCGATGATGGTTGAATCGATGATGGGCGAATCGAAATTTGACGATGGGCGATTGGGATTGAAGACTACAATCAATGATTGGCGAATCGGAATTGCAGACGCCGACGACGATTGAATCGATGATGGGCGAATCAAAATTTATGTTATATTATTAAATACTGAATATAATTTGCTAGTATTCAAATGATATACAAAGTATACAGTTAAATAATAATAACAATAACAATAATAATATTAATATTAATATTAATATTAATATTAATATTAATATTAATATTAATATTAATATTAATATTAATATTAATATTAATATTAATATTAATATTAATATAATATTAATATTAATATTAATATTAATATAATATTAATATTAATATTTTATATATATATATATATGTATATATATATATGTGTGTGTGTGTGTGTATATATATATATATATATATATATATGGAGCAATTGGTCGGAGCAATTGGTGTTACCCGGTAGGACGTCGAACATAAAGAGAAAGAGTTCTATGGAGGGGGTGATCTTCTTGAAGTTGCAAATATTTGTGAAGCAATTTAGTAGCCCATGGGCATTTGGGGTCAACTTACCCGGGAGTATGGAAAATCTTTTGCATATCTGGACGAGAAGGGGACGAAAGGGGAAGAGGATCCCGGTATCCAAGGAAGCTAGATGGAAACCTAATCGTGGTCTTCGGTGGGGATCTATGATGTTTTGATGGTGGGCATTATTATAGTGAAGGATGTATCCCGGGGGCATCAGAATCCGCGCCTTATTCAATAAAACTTTGGGGATTTTCGTGGGGATACAAAGAATGGATCGAAAGTCTAGGGCGTGGTAGTCGACCGCGTCTAGCGACGCGGCAAACTCCTCCAAGTCGTCAGCCTCAGGTTTGAATCGGCCGAGCATCTGATTTAGGGGCATGGGATCGGGAACCACCATGGCCACGGAGGGCTGGCCCGGTCGGTCTGGGATGGATCGCGCCGCCGATCCGGGGAAAGACGATGAGCCGGTGGAAGTGGAAGATCCCAACCCATCTTGAGAATCGCTACAAGAAGACCCAAGACTACTCTCCATATCGAAGGAAAAGTACTAGGGTGCTAGGTTATTACCCTACCGATTGAATAAAAAGTAGACTAGGAGGGCTAAGAAACTAACCTGGCCGAGCTAGAGAAGGATGAGCGGATGAAGAAGACCGGGCGAGTTCGAAATATGAAGAGAGTGAGAAGTGAGGAGGTTTTGAAGGGAAAGAATATATTTATAGAGGAAGAAGGGGGGACCGCCACCTTGGCTAATGGGGGCATGACACGTGGCCGAATGGGGCTAGGGGGGAGAATTCAAAATTTGAATTTTGAATTTCAAAAATATATTATAGTTTTGGGGCTAGGGGGGAGAATTCAAAATTTGAATTTTGAATTTAAAAAATATATTATAGTCATGACAAAGGAACATGACAAAAAGCTATGGGACAAGAGGAAGTCACCTCGCGTCGTCCAAGAACATGAGCTGATAAGGACGCACGACACTCTATCCCCTCCATTTCTTTATAAATACCTCTCTAACCCTCAAATGAAGTGATTCAAATTTTATTTCTCTAGAGTTGATATTGCTATAGCTCCCAGCACTTTTCCCATACTTAATACGGAGTAACAATTAGTGTTTTCTCCTACAGTCCTCCTGGTTACTCTTTGTTTTCTGCACCTCTTTATTCTATAAGCTCCGCAAATTATTCTAGACTCGGTCTAGTACAATTTGCCCGAATGAGTAATTTACACCATCAATTTTCAAAGGAAAGAGAGTATATGTATGACTTAATCAAACTCACTTTTTTTTTTTTGAGATTTAATCAAACTCACTTGTCACATGCTAATTGAATTAATTTTAATTGATTAAAACATTCTATGTTATCTGACATTCCATTCCCCATTCAAGTCTTTAATATTCAATCGCCTATGCCTTCTTCCTGATCCAGCTCCCCCCTGGCACCAGAAGCCACCTGAAACCCTAGAACCGTAGCTTAAACCCATGAAACACCAAATACAATTGCGAAACAAGCGTAATTCTCCCCACTGCAATTTATTCTCAGTATCGAAGTCCTGAAACCTCAGATATAGGACCTTTCCCGAAGAACAATGTCTCTCCCACCCGTGGAGTGTGTTTACATGACGGAAGACTCCATAACAGAATTAAAGAATGGAAACTCAAACTTCAAATTCTCTAACCCCGTGTCAAACCTTCGATTCCTATACGAGCTCTGCTGGGCAATGGTATTTATTCATAATTTGTACTCTATTCTGGACTCTTTCCGCTAACATTTATGTATTACTGTAGTAGTTAGGGTCGTGTTTTAGTAAATTCGTAAGTCCTTTTTTTGTAACGCAGGTCAGAGGTGACTTGCCATTTCAGAAGTGTAAAGCTGCATTGGAGTCTGCTGAATCTATTGGTTGTGTCTGTCAGGATGAAATTGGATCCAACTTAGCTGATATTGTGACTCAAATAGCTCAAGACGTAAGAGTGGTGGTGGTGGTGTGTGTGTGTGTGTGGGGGGGGGGGGTGGGACATTCCTTATTTTTTGCACATTGCACATCACTACTGCTTATTCATCGACCCTTTGTTTTAGTTTCTTAAGTTACAAATTTTAATTTAATCCATACTGGATGCACTTTTGTTTTTCTGGTCCCCCTTTTTCTATGACTTCAAAACTATGAAATGACGCTGCAAGATTTGCATTATATATATATATACTCCCTCCGTCCCAAAATATTTGCAACATTAGCTTTTTCAACAGTCGCGGGAACTTTTGTTTATTTCTACGTTTTCATTGGTTATTTGATAAAATAAAATATTCTTGACACCTCTTATTTCGAAGAACTTTTCATGTAGTTTTTTGATATGTAAATTTTATTTTTTATTTCTAAACCGATATGTAAATAAAATGAATTGAAAAAACTTGATATTTTGCCTCGGAAATACAAATGTGGCAAATATATATATATATATATATATATAGACACACACACATACATACATATGTGTATATGTATACAAATGTGGCAAATATTTAGGGACGGAGGGAGTATATATATATATATATATATATATATATATAGACACACACACATACATACATATGTGTATATGTATATATATGTGTGTGTGTGTATGTGTGTACACACACAAACACACACACACACACATATACATATATACATATGTATGTACACACACACACATATACATATGTATGTATGTATGTGTGTATAGACACACACACACATATATGCATATATACATATGTATGTATGCATGAGCACTACGTGTCGAAGGCTTAAGATTTAGCCATGTGACCATACTTTTTGTTTTGTTACTTTCTGGAGGATTTGTGGAGGACTGGAGGTGATGAGTTGAGCTTACTAATGGCATTTAATGTTCATAGATATGAGGAATAGTGCATGTAGTGAGCATGGAACAACTAATGAAATTATGGCATTTTGATAAGATGAAAACTCACTTGAAAGACACTGAGTTCCAAATTGAAATCTATGTTGTATTTGATTCTCTAGAAAAGAGGGTTAGCTGCTAAGTGATGGACATAGAAATTGCTCGGAGTCACAATTAGATTGTTCATTTTGTTGTTCATGTTGGTATGTGTACTTTTTCGTCCTCCTGATAGTGGTAACTGCAATGGGGAAAACTTTTTTTTAAATCAACGATGTGGGAAAAACATACTCCCTCCGTCCCAAATAAACCTTTTTATTTTGACTTTTTTATCAAACTTTGACAATCTTTGATTACAAATTAACATAATTTAAAAAAAATAAATGTTATAAAATTTTATATATCAAAAGTATATTCTTAGATGGACTCATTTATATTGAATTTACGTTATAATTAAATATACTTTTTTCTCAATTTGTAGTCTGTCATCATTTGACAAAAAATGTCAAAACATGAAGGTTTTTCTGGGATGGAGGCAGTAACATTTAAAGTAAGTATCGGGTAGTAAGCATACCTTAGTGCAAGTTCTAAAAAGGACAAACTTTGATCTAAAACTTGTCTTAACTCTTAGGTTTTGAATCATTATCTTTGCTATATTTTGCATTTTCGTGTTCACTATGTTGAATGTCATTGCTTATATCAGGGTAGCTGAGGCAGTTTGGGTGGTTTATGCTTGAAATTTCCCACGTCTACCCACCCAAATTGCGCACCTTTTGACCCTCTCATGACATTCATATTATGCTACAATTTGTATTTCAAGTTAGTGTAGGTCACAAATAGATCGAGAGCATTTCAGTAACGGGCTGCTGGCTATATAGTTTTCAAAAAATATTATTTTATTGCTCCCTCTGCCTCAAATTGAAGTTTGAGATATGACTTCATGGTGTTTAAGAAAGTTATTGAAAAGTAAGAAAGTGTAAATTTCATTTCAAGATGGAGTCCCTCTGTCCCAAAATCTTGACTCTATGAAGAACTTGTCAAACCTTGACCATTAACTCATCTCAAAGTACAAAGTAAAAAATGATAGTAATATTTATATTGTTATATTTACGATAAAAAGTTGTTTCATGATTTGCAAATTTTTCAATTTGTCACTATGTTCTTAAAGTGAAATTAATTGTGAAAGTTTGGCATGGATTTTTGTAAATGCTCAAGATTTTGGGGCCGAAGGAGTATATGTTTAACTGAGTATTGAATTCTTAATGTAATAATGTAAATTTTTATGGGCAATCAACATTTTATTTTAATATAAATTGCTTAATAGATGGGCTGGCTTATTTACCCATCCTTTTGCCCATTCTGATTTTCTTCCCATAATACATAGTTAATTTGAACATGTTGATACTTTCTTGAACTGGTAATAAATCGGTTCTAAATCTTCTTTAGCACCTTTAGAGTGAAGGACTTAATTAGTAAAGTTTAGTCTTTGAATGAATTAAGAAAGATTTTACTTGAGAACATGCTTTTCTTTGCGTTATTTTCAAAAATAAATCAACAAGGTAGGGATAGGGGTATGAAAGTTGCATCATGTTTTTATGTACTTCTAGTTTATGATTATACATTTTTTTAGGCGTACATGATAAAAGAGTAGCATACTCTTTGATTTTGTATTCTAGCCTTAGAAATCTTTATGTACAATGTGGCAACGTAAGTCCTTGTGGTGAAATTATTCACGATGTGGTCATATTTCATGGTTTGTATGCTGATTTTACTATGTCAACCTAAACATGATTTTAACAATTGTCTTTACTCGTAGCTGTCTCATGATTTATTTCATTCTAGTGGAATAACCTATGATGATGATAGTTTAGCAATTTCATATTATTATTTATTTGTACATTCCTTGTAAAAAGTTTGCATTAGGAAAGGCATCCAATGTAAAACTGAGCCACATTTTATTTTGCACGAATGTGTTTTTTAATGAATTTCAGATAATTAATTTGGACTATAAAAGTTGGGGAATAAGGTTATTGCAAAATCTTGCATGATGTGATTGATGGGCACTTGTTAATTTCTCACAGGAGGTGGACTTTAAAATGTACATTGTGAAAAGTTTTCATACTAATATATGGCAATTCTTACCATGCAGCTCACTTTGTCTGGAGAATATCGTGCACGTCTTATTAAGCTGGTTAGTTAAATTTATTAAGGTGTTGAAACTCATACATGCAATTCCTTTTTTAGCTTGTATTACATTTTATTTTTCCTTAAGATTGGTTACAATTACAACCATTTGCACATGTACCATGATGACCTAGGATAATCATTAGTCTCATACTTCTACCAAGTTTCATGATCAACTCCCCTAGTCATACAATAAAATCTGACAATTTTTCCATACAATTGTCACTCACACACACACACACATATACTTGAAAAATGGTATTTCCCTTTGGCTTTGCCACCGCCTTAAGTTTTGGTAATGCTGATACCTGATAGTATGATCTTCTAGCAAAGTTTAATGAAGTTGTGTATTATGAGGTGAGGCTTGGTCTATGTGAAAGTTGTGAAATCTGGAGTCAGTTTTGGGTCTCTTATTATTATTATTATTATTTTTGCAAATGAATATTTTTTCTTTTCTTAGTAATTATCTGTTTCAGGCACACTTAGCAACTCAACAATTCATGCAGACAGAAATTCTGAATGTCAAGTGCTTAAAATTATTAATACAACGCTGTCTGAGTATCACTTCCATTTTAGTGAATTCATTAGTATGGGATTTCACTTCGATAAAAAAAATGAAGTAGCATTTTTCTTAAAATTTTTAGGGCATTATGCACTGAAAATAGTTTATTTTCTTTTTGTTCAAATGAGATATTCCCCATTTTTCCTTTTGATTGAATTTGATTTTCCCTTTTTTGGTTTGAATTGCATTTCTTCATTTCTTGTGAGATAGAAATATGCTATGGTGCTCAGCGTAACAATTTAAGAGCAATGGTGTAGGTGATGCATTCCATTGATTGATGCACATAATTGACTAGAATCTGCCAGAAATGAAGAAGTATCCAATATGCATCCCACATTTCCATATTTTAAAAAACAATAAGGAACAACTGTGATAAATTTAGTTCACAGTGCACTTATCTCCCCGTCATGTATATATACGCTCCTCCCTACCTCCTCCCCTCCCACCAGACAAATGGTTAACTGTGTGTAGCACAGAAGTCCTATTAATTTTCACCTCTTCTCTACAATGAAAAATCAAATAGAAGGGATATTCTTACTTTGTATCAGTTGTTTCAGGTGCTATTATCTCACGGAGTAGTATTACTTATTGTGCCAATCATTCATATCATTTCATATTTTTTTAGCATCTTACTCTTGCTTTGGTACATCGTAAAGCCGCTAACATCTTGCCTATGCTTTCAGGCCAAATGGCTATTGGATTCTGCATTAGTACCATTGAGATTTTTTCATGAGCGATGTGAGGTATATTGAAATGGTTTTAAATTTTTTGATGCTTTATGCCATCTGTTGTGGTTAAATGACTTCAAAATGTTATGGTATTAAGAATATGCATATGCATGTTTTCAATGAGTGAAGGAAGAATTTTTATGGGAAGCTGAAATGATCAAGATAAAGGCTCCAGATTTGAAATCAAAAGAGGTAATGAACATCATATATTAATATGGTAATGATATTAGTTGATTTAATTGCTACATCAACATAAATAGATAATTTTATTCTCTATGGACTGATTTCCTGTTGCTACATAGATATTTCATTGTATTGTATACTGCAAGAGTGCTAGGTAATAGATGATACATGCATTAGCTTCTGTTTCTATTTTAAGGGAGTTTTCTTCATGCTGTTTGAATTAACTTACTCTTGATCTTAAAAAGCCTGCCGAGTGCAGAATTGGAGTTTCTTTTTTCTTTTCAAAGAATGATTCTCTTTAGGTAGGATAGTCATTTATTGTTTTTGTTTATCGTAGGAATATAAATCATGTAAAAAATATTATTATATTCTTTTCGTTTTTGGTCAGGTGAGGGTAAACACCCGCCTTCTTTATCAGCAGACCAAGTTTAACCTTCTTCGAGAAGAGAGTGAAGGCTATGCTAAATTGGTATTTGTCTTCTTTCGTTTCTTTACGATCATTGAGTGTGCTTATATATATGCATTACTATCTCATCTTCAATTTATAGCTGGCTACACTCATAGCATACAGTAAATCATGGTTTTCATGTCGAAAATTGACTCAGGTTGATGAAGAAGAGACTAGTCGACTAGTTGACCAATTGGCCGACTAGTCTAGATTCGTTGACAAGTCATAATAAGGTAGCACTTAAATAAACATAAATACAAAGAGTATATAACTGATCAGACTTGAAAGACAACAAAAACTTAAATTTGCAAACTAGAAATAATAGAATAATATAGTAATGATTGTTAAAACAAAATTTAAATGCAAAATAATAGAATCAAAGAAAAAAAAATCTTGAAGTAAATACGAACATCTAAACACTAAAAAGATAAAATTTGAAAAAAATAAAGAGTACTTTAAAAAAGGAAATTTCAATTCTACGGAGAACTTTAACAAAAAACAGCCCCACACCCCTTGGCCCTCCCCAAAATAAACAAAAAAGAAAATGAAATTGAGAGGGAAGAGAAGACGGGAAGTCGAAGAAAGAAATGAAATGCCAAGTTCTACTAAATGGGAAACAACATTGGCCACAAAACGGTAGCGGTGATGGCGACAAACAACCACAGTGGCAGCAGAGCTACTTCCCTCTGGCAGCAGCGGCGCATCTACTCTGGCCATAGTTAGGGTTTTAAATCTAGATTTTGTCGTCCCTTTTCCCCGTCGCTAGTCGCCACCATTGGTCATCCCTTCCCGACCTGAAACATAGTCAATGACTTAATAACACTGCAATAAATGGAGACCGGAAAAAATGTAACACTCATCATGTGCCCTCATGCTTTGGGGATGACATAAGATATTTAACATCGGTATATTGATATTAGTAAAGATAATATTTGGTAGTTTGATATTAGTACACCTTTTTGAACGTTGAGTCTGGTGATCGTTGTTTTTTTGCCCCATGCAATATAGAAACTTTGCGCCTCCCGAATTTGACTACTTTAGAAGGATTTGTCATATGAGATTTGTTCTTTTGCATTATCACTGTCTAATGCATATATGTACGTTCAAAACAAATTAGTGATTTCATATTAAAATTTCTAGAATACAATTTGTAAGTTCAAAACAAATTTTCATTAAGAAGACCCATTGCATTATGAAGAATTATCTATGAAGGTGACAAAGTGTTGAAAACCTCTGAAACAAATGAGACATGATATTTCCTCCACCTCCACCCCACCCTCATTTTCAGACCTGAAATTATCTATTTTTTCTAACGGCGAAAGCTCTTGAATATTTTTCAAGGTGATATTACTCATGCTCTGTAAACACCAATTTGGCATGACTCTCATTCAGTCCACATTTCACTTTGACTGTAAGTATTTAGCAAAAAAATTGAAATCAGATGCCATAAATGATGGGGTCAACCATTGCAAGGTTTTTAGGAACCGCTCAAAGAGCAATATGAACTATACTCTGTATATGGGCATATCTTTTCCATTTTATAAAGATTTCTGATTTTTTCTAAAATCACTTTCTGTCTTTGAAGTGGACATCTTGTGCTCTAATAATCTAATTCTTTAGTATTAGGTATTTAGGTTATTCTTATTTTATTGATACTGAGCCTCAGTTCACCATGGTGTGTAGGTTACTTTACTTTGCCAGATCCCCGAAGCTTCTAACCAAAATGTTTCAGATGCAACAGTTGGAATAATTAAGGTGTAAATTTGAACACAGTATCTCTTGTATTTATGTTTACCATGTTTCTAGTTTGACCTGTTATATTCTGCAGTCATTAATTGGACATTTTGATCTGGATCCAAACAGAGTTTTTGACATTGTAAGTTCTCTGCTTATTTTATTATTAGTTTTTTGTTGTACCCGTTGAATTCCTTCTCGAGTTTCTGAGTGGTTCTTATTTCATAATGTGTTAGGTTTTGGAGTTTTTTGAATTTCGACCTAACAATAGTGTATTCTTGGACCTCATTCCTATATTTCCAAAGGTATGAATATTGTATAGTAATTTTGGTTCATTTCTGTGGCCATTCTTTTGTCTCCATTCAAGGAATTATGTGAATTAACTACTACAACATGATAATTTGCAGTCTCATGCCTCTCAAATTCTTGGTCATAAATTTCAATACTACCAGCGGATGGACGTTCATGATCATGTGCCATATGGTCTCTATCAGCTTGCTGCGTTGCTGGTGAAAAAAGATTTCATTGATGTCGATAACATGTAGGTCTCTTTTGTGTATTCATTTTTATTACAAGTTTTTTCTACATGTAGAGTAATTTTAGTCAAACTGTTAGATCAAGGGTTTACATCGAAATTCATTTCTCTTGGCAACCCAGTTTGTAGATCCCTTCTTGGGAAACTGAACACCTTTTCATTGTCATCACTCTTGATATGATTTATTCCCTCCGTCCTAGATTGTTTGTCGACTTTCTTTTTTCCACATGAACCAAGAAGTTGAAAGGATAGAAAAAAGTTCCCAAATTACCCTTCCTTTTGGCTGTCAGCCTTTGTGGAAAAAGTTCAATCAATATGCTAAATTAATAAGCTTTTAGAGACTTGGTCATCTTGAACGCCAGCAGTCCGACACTACAAGCCTCATCACCAGTTCCTCCACCGCCTTCAGGGGGCATTTCGTCCCCATCTTTCTCCTTGAATTCGGGTACAAATAAAGCTTCATTATATGGAGGCAGGGGCCTTCTGTCACCATTCTATTCTTCAGATGAGGCTTCAATGAGGCAGGCGCGAAGGGCGACTTCTATCCATTTATTACATGCTATTCTCAAATTATACCGGCTTTCTAAGCATATATGCATTTTCTTTTCAGATATGTGCATTTACTTCCTAAGGATGAGGAGGCGTTTAAGCATTATTCCACATCCTTGGCAAAGAGACATGAGGAGGTAAATAATATGTACTATATAGATCCTGCAACTTTTTCATCATTAATCACTTGGGTGATGCTTGATTTCCACCGATACCTTAGTACTACTACTTGGTAATGTATTCTCCTTGTTTTATCCATCACCACATTTGCTTGGCTTTTTTGGATGATTCATTCCCATCATCTTCTTCGTGTAAAGTACTTCCCAGCTCTAGGGATTCTTTACCCCCTCCGTTCCACTATCGTCCCCTTTTTCCATTTTGGGCTGCCTCAAGATTTTTGTCCCATACCATATTTTATGTTTATTTTTTTGGCTCAAATAAATTCGTAGTTTACAAATTTTATATCGACCACATAATCCCAATTTTTAAAATCCGCATGCCACTCTCCATGTTCCAAAGTAGTGATAGAAAGGGAGTATATGTTTCCATTGCAGTTTATCATACTCCCGAGATCCTCATAAACTCCATAAGTTGCTTCAGATTGGAATCAAAATTTCATTTTCATACTGAAGCCCATATCTGGTCTATTTGACTAAACAAATAGTGAACAAATGTACAACAACAGTGCATAGTTGTCATGGGGCATGGCAAAACTGTGGCAACTATCCAGATTGATGTGGCAATGGAAATTATGTTTTGAGTAGCCAATTGCAAGTGGTAGATATGTTTTGAGGGTATACTTTAATTATTCCCTTAATGTTTTTGTTAGGTTAGTGTCATAAACCACCCTTCATTGTTCATGTTACTAACAGAGTGAAAAGTATAGATTTCCTCTTAGCTTTTGGCCTTGCAACTTCCCTTGGTGCAGGTAGTGTTACTGAAGCCCAGATGTAGTTGTAACAGATGCCTCCAATGTAAACACTAGCCTTGTGTGAATTTGCAAGATGGAGATACATGTCATGAGTTTAGAAAAGGCACTAAGAGTTTTTTTTTTTTTTTGGGTTTTTTTGTTCCCTTTTTTTTTTGGAAAGCCACTAAGAGTTTGTTTGAGAAGCCACTAAGAGTTTTTGAGATATCTTCAACAAAATCTAAAGAAGATTGTTTAATGGGTGAAATAAATTGGATATGGTTTGGACTTCAATGAACAGAAAATAATAAGACCATGGTGTATGTGGCTTTCATGCTTCACACAAAAAATGAATAAGGTATGTTTGGTGCTGGTTTTTAGGGATAGCCAGCGTCGGCCACTCGCTATTTTTCCAGGACCCATGTGGCACCAGGCACCCTATATATGGCGCCAGCTTTGATAAACATGCTGTGCTGATTTTGTCATTGTTGTGTTAATTGCTTTTTTTCTCGGCTGTATCACCATCCTTGAAGAGTAGAAGACCTTACACTATTTGCCTCTTGTTACTGCTTACACGTGATACAAATTGCTTTTGTTATTTATTTCATAGTAGTATACTAGTATGCATTTACTTCGAGAACATTTACCAGGCAAACAAGATAGGAAGAATAAATCTTGCTGCAACTGGAAAAGATCTCATGGATGAGGAAAAACAAGGAGATGTTACGGTCGATCTGTATTCTGCTTTGGATGCCGAATTGGATGCAGTCGCTGAAAGATCCTCAGAACTTCAAGATAGTCAACCTTTAGGTCTGCTCATGGGGTTTCTTGCTGTAGATGATTGGTATGCTTTTAATATCGAATACCTTTATCATGTACTGCTTTGGAGTTCTTATTTATGTGTAATTTCATTTCAAGTGTGGCCATACATTAGTGATAGGTGCTTGCACTTTTTGTGCATTAAATCTTCTTTGCTATTTGCTCTATTGACTGTAAAGTTTTCATCACATATATCAGATCTAGACGGATAGAGATAATGTTCTTCTTTTTCCCTCAACTAAACCCACCACGGATGTGGGAAGTAGGTTGGAAGGGGATTGGAAAATAGATATAAGAGTGGAGGGTTGCATGGAGGCTTGGCCCTTACCATTGTATTCTTGTAAGCAAATTAAGATGATCATCCTCTACATTGGTAATATATAGTAAAGCTTATATTCAAATTGTTTAAGAAGAGATAAAGAATTGTGCAAATACCAATGAGATCAAGGCCCATTTCATATGAGTATAATCCTGGTTGGATTATCATGTGTGCCTCACCAATGCTGGGAAACTTCACTCATTGACCTAAGGATGTGGTTAACTTCCACGCTTCTAAAATTCTTGCTAAGGATTTCTTCTATTTTGTGAATATAGTATAGAGTACACATATTTTCTAGAACACCTCCCTAAATTCTTCTCTTTATCAATCAAAGAAGACAATCCTTTGCCATAGTAGTAAGCAATGTTTTCTCATTAGTTGTGCATGCCTTACTGGTTCTTATTGAATCTCTTAATGTATATTTGATATCCGCATTTACTTTGTAAGAGGATTTATCCACTAACAACTTCTACATATACACTTTTTATATTTAGCAGAGCCAACTTACAATAACTGGTGCTTCTAGCATCTAGGTCTGGGGTTCATGTATAGAAACATGGTGTACTTTGATGAAGTCTTCTTGCTTTTGATTAGAACTTGTTCTGTGCTGTATGAACCAATGTTCGAAATTGCGTATTGCGATTTCAAGGCGTTTTCTTTTCATGGCATATTGCGTAAGCCTCGAGGCATTTTGAGGTGTAAGCCTCAATTTTTAAATTGAAAAATATCCACAAAACAATTTAAAACTAAATATAGAACATAATGCATAACATAAATAATCCAAAAACATTAAAAAAGCATATTGTCAAAGTAATACATCACAAACACAACAAAGTCTAACGTGGAATAGGACATAATATTGCTCAAAGTGTCCAAGTCAATTAGCTCAACAATTATCAAAAAAGAAGAAAAAAAGAGATTAACAGCCAAAAAAATCATCATCCAACTACTTGAAAAAAAACACCAATTATAAACTCCAACCGTTAAAAGGAAAATTGAATGCTACTGTACTTCCTAAAACGATAACAAAAAAAACTAATTAAATAAATTTATCAAGATAATAAGTTAATAGTCGATTATAAATCCTCCAGCTGTACGATTCAATTTATAATCTTCTATTAACTTATTATCTTGATAAATTTATTTAAAATTACTCCCTCCGTCCCACTCTCTTTGTCCACTTACCTTTTGACACACCATCCAATGCACTTCTTTAATCCATTTTATCTTATAATTTGTATATTAAAAAATTATAGAAATTATATATTAATAATCTATATGTTAAGACAAATCAAACAAGATCACACATGACTATATTTAGGCTTACACATTGAAAGAATTTGATGAGTCAAAGTGCTTAGATGAACAGTTCCAAAAGTCAAAAGTGGACAAAGAGAGTGGGACGGAGGTAGTAGTTTTTTTGGTTATCGTTTTATGAAGTACAGTAGCATTCAATTTTCCTTTTTTACGGTTGGAGTTTATAATTGGTGTTTTTTTCAAGTATTTGGATATTGTGATTTTTTTTGGTGTTAATCTCCTTTTTTGTTCTTCTTTGATAATTGTTGTGCTAATTGACTCGGACACTTTGAGGAATATTATGTCTTATTCCATGTTAGACATTGTTGTGTTTGTGATGTATGACTTTGACAATATACTTTTTAAATGTTTTTGGATTATCTATGTTTTACATTATGCTCTATCTTTAGTTTTAAATTGTTTTGTGGATATTTTTCAATTTAAAGATTGAGGCTTACGCCTCAAAACGCCTAGAGGCTTACCCAATATGCCATGAAAAGAAAAAGCCTCGAAACTGCAATACGCAATTTCGAACATTGGTTTTGCTTTGTCCTTGTCATATGATTTTTTTCCATATTACTCCCTCCATTCCTAAGAGCCTTGCATAATATTGACCGACACGTTTAAGAGTGGGTTAAAGTGGAATGTAAATGTGTGTAAAGTTATTTAATTAGGACAGAAAAAGGTGTAGAAATGGGAAGGAGAAGGGTGGAGTATGAGCAAGTGCTTTGGGTACATTAAATGGGTTTAGTGGTAAAGTAAAATGCAATGTGATAGTGGGCTATGATGTATTGGATGGAGTGGATTAATATACTAAAATATTGAGTGGGTCTTTGCTAGAAGTGGAAATATGCAAAGTAAAATGAAATGTCCATAAAGAGAAAGTATGCAAAGTATTTAAGAACGGAGTATTTTGTTTTGTCTTCTATTGTACTTTGGCTTTGCTCAATAGAACAACTATTTCTCTCATGTTTCTTCATTTCTCTTTCCTTATTATTGTTTTTTGTTCTTTTGTCAGGCATCATGCTCATATGCTATTTGATCGCCTCTCACCTCTTAATCCAGTGGAACATATGCAAATATGCAGTGGGTTGCTTAGGTGAATCTTTCTTTCTCTAAAAGTTTAGTTAAAAAACATAATTTTGTATTGCTATGTTACACTGGTGTAATGTGATCACATTTATATGGCTCATATAAATAAGATGTGTACTTCTATCAGTTTTTAGTGTGGATCTGCTTTGTGTTTAGTAGCCCCGTCAGCACGTGTATTATAAGAGTGTTTGGAAGTCAAAGAATGGAGTATTAGGTTAATCTGGTCTGGGACTTTGTTGTTTGAGGGCTAGAGGGATGCCTTCGTAGGTATTTGTTCACTCTGTAGTTCTTTTTCCTTAATTTTTCCATTAAATTTTGATTGTGCAAACATGTAATTTTTGTTTTCATGAGTCAAATGTCTTTTGGGTAGGGGTAAGATCTGCATACACCTACACTCCCAAGACCACACTTGTGGGACCTTATTGGGCTGTTGTTGTAAGCATGTGTATGATACAAGCAATGTTGGTGCTCATTTTTTTGTGCTGGACCCGGGGGTCTTTAGGAAATTGACTCTATCATTTTTAGGTAGGGGTAAGGTTTCTGTACACCCACCTTCAGACCTCACTTTGTGGGATATTATTAGGTAGGTTGTTGGACTTTTTCCATGTCTATTTTTGTTGGGATGCTCTCATGGTCATATCATAAATATTCGATGCTAAAACTGTATATCATCAGGCTTATTGAAATATCAGTTTTGCCGGGGTATGGCCTACTTTGCAAAACTCAGATTCTCAGTTCGGCTATTGGAGCTGGTAGTAGCATGATAGATGCAACTGATTCATCTGGCAGTATCTCTTTCATTGATCTTCCAACAGAGCTTTTTGAGATGCTTGCTACTGTTGGTCCTTATCTTTATCGAGATGTTTCATTACTGCAGAAGGTCTGAACTATTCACTCACTTCATTTCACTCTTTTATATTCCAAATTTTGTTAAACAGAAGAGTCATCTTTTCACTTCTCTGCTTTTCTAAAGAGCAGGTTTGCAGAGTGTTGAGGGGTTACTACATATGTGCACGTGAACTTGCCAACAGTGGTGGGGATTTTAATGCTCAAGAGGCAATTACCGAAAACCGCACTCCTCGTACCCATTTGAGGGATGCTAGGTTAAGAATTGAGGAAGCACTAGGGACGTGTCTACTTCCATCCTTACAGTTGATACCAGCAAATCCTGCAGTTGGGCAAGAGATATGGGAACTACTTAGTCTCTTACCATATGAGGTCTGCTTACAGCTGCCAGGGTTTGAAATTCATGTATTTGTTGTTGATTTGACTAATATTATTTCTATAGGTTCGTTATCGTCTATATGGTGAGTGGGAAAAAGATGATGAACAATTTCCAATGCTTTTCACTGCAAGGCAAACAGCTAAGGTATTAACTGCTTAATGCTTTATTTTATTTCTAGCTTTTAGCTTCATTGTTTTACTCGACTAACTCTCGTATAATGTAATGCCATGACAGTTGGATACAAGAAGGGTTCTAAAGCGCCTTGCCAAAGAAAACTTTAAACAACTTGCTCGAATGGTTGCTAAGCTAGCTCATGCCAATCCCATGACAGTACTAAGGACGATTGTTCAGCAGGTAGAATGTCATTCAGGTGTACTTCTCTAAGTATCACGCAAATTGCTGCTGATATAACCCTTTCTTGATTGAATTATGCAGATAGAGGCTTATAGGGATATGATTACCCCAGTTGTTGATGCATTTAAGTACTTGACGCAGGTTAAAAATTCCCCTCCTCAAAACTTGAAGTTCAACTAAAGTATGTGAAAAATAGTAAATACATAAGTACTACAGAATGAACAGTGTAGTAAATAAATAAGCGAATTAGAAGAGTAACAAACTAATTCAGAATTTCATAGCGTTCTTATACACAGAATAAGAAAATTACATTGCGAATTTGGACAATAGTGTATTAATGAATTGGCCATCTGCCCTTGGAAGATGCCTTTGAGGACTACTTTGAGAAGGCTGAGACGTCGGCGTAATTTTACCTGCGGTTTGTGTCAAAGAGCAGATGAGCAAATTTGTAGAGTACAGACTACAGAGGATTGGCAGATCGCTAGCCCATAGGCTCTGGGGAATGATGAGAGCGGTGAGAAGGAGATGAGACCGGTGTTGTTTGCAAATTTCAAGTCGCGCAGTGAGACAGAGTGGGAGATGAGAGATGACAGGCTGCCTAAAAGTTGAAAAAGAATATGGTTGCTACAAAGCCTACAATTGTTAAATGCTTTCAAACAAAAAACAGAAAATCACTGTACGATCTAGACGTTGTATGGTGATTTTCAAAGCACAGAGGGAGGGATGGACTTTTTGAAAATACATTCATACACACAAACACACATCTGATGCTCTAATTTATACTCCCTCCATTCTTATCCAATCTCCCCGTTTTGGAATACGATATTTGACCAAAGTTGTTTTCAATTTAGTTTATATACATATTGGTGTAGAATTAAAAAATAAAATTTATATATTTGAAAACTAGTTCAAAAGTTCTACAAAACAAGTAATGTGACAAGACTATTTTATTTTATCAAATGATCAATGAAAATAGGTAAGGAAAAGAATATGGTTTGACCCTGTAAATTAGTAAATGGGAAGATCATTTAGGGACGGAGGGAATATTACTTAACAAAAATAACTTTCATTTTTTTGTTGTAAATTTGGGTTGTTTATAATTTTTTTTATTCCTTCATTTCCTGAAACAGCTGGAGTATGATATTTTGGAGTATGTTGTAATTGAGCGCCTGGCACAAAGTGGACGTGATAAGCTAAAAGATGATGGCATAAATTTGTCGGATTGGCTCCAGTCTTTGGCATCTTTTTGGGGGCATCTGTATGTACACTCAATTTTTCTGATAGTTATCAATGGTTTTCATCATCGGCATATATAATTCTCCCTTTGGGTTTTCTGTTCATTAACTGATGTTTGGTCTGTTAGCTTCCTGAATTTGTTGCTTATTGCATTCATTTGCCATTTCTACCTTGACTGCTACAATTGTGCAAAAATTCATATGTTTGATTAAGTTTTTTCTCATTTGTTGTAGTCTGGCACTTATTCCCTTCGAATAATTTATTTGAATTCCCTTGGAAATACACTTAACCCGAAAAACATTTTAGCCTGTACTCTACTACCCGAGCAAAATCTGGTTTTGATGTTCTGGTTTGACCTTTACTGTTAGCCTGTAACTGTGCTATGCCTTAACTGCTTTGTGCAGAATAATTAGATTTTCACGGAGTACACCCAGCATTGGGGGTTGCAAACTAACCTTTGAAGATGCTGGGTGGATGGAGGAGATCCTACCTTTGCTGATTTTCCTGGGTTGGCTTTTGTTAGCCTCTTACATCAACTGCCATATCGTTGGCTTCTTGTTTGTTCAATGAGGTTTCAAAAATAAGAATTCGCTAATGAGTTACAGTAGGATAACGGGACAGAGGTTACAAGATCTTATTGGTTAATAAGTTTCTGCTGGATGGGGCCATATTCAAGAATTAAAAAGTTCCGTTGAATTACTTTTTCTGTTTCAAGATCAAGATCTTGTGGGTTTCTATTGGGCTGTTGTTGTTTCAAGATCAAGATCTGAAGGATTATGAAGGATCCTCATACATCATCGTACAACAGAAATTTTTGTTGAAAAACTAGTTCCAATGATGTTTGCCTTTCAGAGGATTAAAGTGATGAATACTTGAGGACTTCATTCTTCAGAATGTGTGCAATATGAAGATTATCCTGTCTGTAGTGAATCAAGTGAACTAGCATGTCACTACAGCCTGTGAGAAGTCTATTGGTTGTTCAACATAAAACCTTTCACTTATAGCTTAAATCTTTTTTATAATGTTTGTAGTGCATCTGTTGGAGAGGTGATTAATATTGTTTGATTGAAATTTTGGGCATTCCAGTACAAATCTTTCACATGATTGCAAATCGCTAGGATTTGATGTGTAGACTCTAGAGACTCGGGATAAACAATGGGTCTGAAGTCTGAACTTGGTTGCGAAGATTGATTTCGAATGGCTGGTTACTTCTCATGTAGATTCCGTGGTGCACTCAACCTGAAGTTTTGCCAAGAAAGTAGGACATTGCAGGGGCCGATACTTCCGTGATCCTTTAGTATTGCATGCACGTAGGCTCTATACTGAAAAATATGATATTCAGTCCGAAGTCCATTGAGAAACACTTTTACTCACTTGAAGATTTGCTCTGTTTAAAGGAAGGAAATTGGGCATAGCATGTTTTTGTTGGTCATTCAGTTCCACTGCCGGTATTCCTTCTGCATTTGTAGTATGATTCTGTGCATACAATGTCAATCTTCTACGAGAAAGCAGATTTTTAGGACATGGTCTCTAAACTCTAGATTCTTGATCAACAATAGAGCTAAGATTGATATATGTACTATCTAGATTAGTTTGGGGCCTATGCTGTTTCTCTTCATGGGGATATTCCAAGACTAATAGGAAGTTCTGGGAATCTGTACTCGTTTGTTTGATCTGCTTTTGTATGTCATGGAGCATGAGCATCTATTGAAGTCCATAAAGCACGGTTACACAATTGAAGATTTGCTCTCTTTCTACAGAAGTGTGGCAGATCACTATTTGGGGGTCATAGATACTTTGAGTTTGATATTGGTTTTATTTCTAGTATGATTGATTACATTCCTCTGGAAAGTTGTGCTCTTTTTGTCCGGGTGTTTGCTTATCATTGGAATTATTTTCTTGGATTCATCTCAAAAGTTCCTGAGTTTGCTGCTCATGTTCAAACAATATATGAGTGAGAAGTCTTTCATTAGATAGTAGATACACTAGTTCATTTCTGAGATATTTTAAAAAAATGAGTTCCAGCACCTAATATTATCTTATTTTGTACTTCTGTCCCTATTTAGTGCCCAGTTTGACTTGGCACACAGTTCTAGATAAAAATTGACAAGAAAAAGCTAAAGAGTGTGGTTGGAATTTGTTTAGAAGAGAGCAATGTTGTGTTGCCACTTGCCCACATATTCCTTTCCTAAAGAGAAAGTTGAGTATTTTGGGCAGAGGGAATATGTGATTGTTATTTTAGGATTAATATCAGCTTTTGTTTTGTTTCATTTATATTGCTGTTTTGATGAAACCGAGTTTATCCTTCATTTTTTAAATCATGTGCACTACTAATATCAGTGAGGTTGTGGATATAATATTATAGATAGCTAATTTAAGAACTGATAAATGATTATCTGTTGGTCATACTGTCATTTTGTGGGAAGAAACACAATTTATTGGGAACGTCAATGTGACCAACTTCTAGCCTCCTCCTTTTTTGTGTGTGTTTACGTGTTCAGTATTATTCTGTGGCCTTTTCAAGGCCCAGATGGCTTACCTTCATCACCAAGAGGGATTTTCAGGCCAGTTCTTAGCGAACTTAACTGTGATTTCCATTTAATTAAAATACCCTCGTACAATTAAGCTTTGCGTTTCTCTTGAGTGTGAACTTCCTTTAAACTGTTCTAATACAGTTACTTTAGTCTCTTTGAACTATGCAAAGTTTTTGATGGACATGGACTATTAAGAAAACTATTGGGTTGTTACATCTAATTTATACTTTTTGTAATGTCTGCTTTTTCTGTAACGTTGCTACACAATTGATTAGTTTCAAGTATATACGCGTTAAATTACTTTCAGATTGCGTGACCACCATTCTGTTTTATCCGTGCTACTTTCTTCAGGTGTAAAAAATACCCATCAATGGAACTAAGAGGTCTTTTCCAGTATCTTGTAAATCAGCTGAAGAGAGGAAATGGAATTGAGCTTCTTTTTGTTCAGGTAAATTAGCACACTCATTTTACATGCCAGTCTCATTGTTTCTTTTACCTTAAATCTAAATTATAAAAATGTGCAGGAGCTTATACAGCAAATGGCCAATGTTCAATACACAGAGAACATGACAGAAGACGAACTGGATGCAATGGCTGGAAGTGAAACCCTTCGATATCAAGCTACTTCATATGGGATAACCAGGAACAATAAGGTTCAGATAGTTGTTTGGTCATTTTGAGAGTCAACCCTGCTTCTAAAGTAATACCGATCAGTAAATCAGCAGCGAATATTTTTGGCTTTCTCCAATGCGATCTCATTACATAGCCGTTACTCTCATTAGAAAAATAAGGCTATTGTACACTGAATATTGATATCAACAAATAAGCTCTTTTACGAAATAAAAATATTTGAACTAATTCACATTTTATTATGCTTTCAATAAGATTTTTCTTTAAGAATATCATTTCGAATCAGTAACCATTTTGCATTTGTTTGCAGGCATTGATCAAATCCACCAATAGGCTGAGAGATGCTTTGCTTTCAAAAGAAGAACCAAAGTTGGCAATTCCTCTTTTGTTACTCATTGCTCAACACCGTTCTGTGTAAGCAAGGACAATTTTTTTGTGTGTTTTTAGTACTACTGACTCTATTAGAATGTAGTATCTGTTCATGTATTCTTTCTCAACCTGTTTAAATGCATAGAATCAACGCCCCTGCCAGGGTTCAAACCTATGTGAGCTTCCCATCTAGAATCCTTGGGGGTGGCCCCCCTACCACTCAAGCCAAGGGAGAAACACATTTTTTTGTTTTGTTTTGTTGGTTATATCGAAATGTATCATGTCGGTGTTGTTTATAAGCATTAGTGTTAAGGGTGCCAAGAGCGAGTCCAAGATTCTCAGTCTACTCCTACTAATGTTGTATCACAAATCTAGAGACATGTATGGGATGTCGTTTTGTGGGGTGCTTAAAATCCTACACTTGAGCTAGTAAGGTTACTGCTTGGGGGGGGGGGGGCACTGATCCCCCAAAACTGTTGTAGCTGAGTAACCTGAGTTTTATTCAAACTTCTTTTGCCATTTGAGTTTCATGGTATGTACGATCTTTTGTAGGAGAGATTTTTTTTCTGGGCACACATTCTTTGAAATAAATTTTATAGCTTACAACAGCACACCCAGTGGGCCAGTAGAAATCCGAAGGAGTGGTGTTTGGGAGGGTGTGTTGATAGACTATACCCCTACCTCAAATGTAGATCTTGTTTCCAAGAGACACCCGACAAAAGATAGTAGCACAAACAAAAAAAGCACACAAACATGACACACATTCAAATAAAAATCTACACGCCAAGGTACAAAAACACACATGAAGAAACCATCAACTAAGGCCCAAAAGACTCCTATACCATCCTAATCCTAGACCTCTAGATGCTCATATCTAAGGCGGTATCCTTGGTAAGATCCTGAAGTTCTAAGTCTTATGTAATCATCTCCTTCCAATTTATCTTATGACTATGTCTACCCCTTCTCACTCCTTATACCTCAAGCCTCTCGCACCTCCTCATTGGGGCATCCGTATTCCGTACTTCTCTTCAGTATGTGTCCAAACCATCTTAGTCTAACTTTCCACAGTTTATCCTCACAGAGGCCACGCCACCCTTCCTCAATATCCTCTTTCCGGATCTTATCCATTCTTGCATGATCACACATTTACCTCAGCCTCCTCTGAACACGAGCATCCTTCATCTCCCATACAACATAGCCAGTCTGACCACTGCCCAATACAACCTTCATTTCAGGTTTGCCAATATCCTACTCTCACAAAGGAGACCTAAAGCAAGTTTTCACTTTGCTCAAGCGGCACCGATATGTTGGGAAACATCCCCGTCTACCTCCCCATAATGATGGATCCAAGGTATTGAATTTTGTCCCTCTTAGGAACTTGATGCGAAGTGATCCTATCTTTCACTTCCAACTCACTCGTCCTACCACTGAAGTATCATCTCACGTACTCAGTCTTAGTCCTGCTCAATTTAAAACCTTTGTATTTCAACATCTCTTGGCGTACTTCCAACCTATCATTTAGTCCCTCTCGTGTCTTGTCGACGTCAATTAAAACAATGTCATCAGCAAACAACAAGCACCAATGTACCTCCCTCAAATATGGCATGTTAGAACATCCATCACCAAATCAAGTAAAAAAGGACTGAGGGTACACTCCTGATGTAACCCCAGCTCCACTAGGAAGTTGTCAAAGTCACCACTTAACAACCTCCTCTGGTGTTTGCCCCAACATACATGTCATTAACTGCCTGGATATAAGCAATTGATACCCCTGTAATAAGATCTGCCTAGGGACCATGTTGTAAGCCTTTTCCATGTCAAAATACACAATGTGATGGTCCATATACTGTTTCATCACTTTTCTCAACACATGAATGACCTCAATGGTTGACTGGCCAGACATGAAACCAAATTGATTCTTGGAAATGCTCAACTCCTTTCTTAACCGAGTCTCAATCAATAACCCGTTCCCAAACCTTCATGGTGTGAAGTAGTTTCATACCCCCAAGAATTATTGCAGCTCTGGATATTTCCTTTGCATTTATAAAATGGGGCAACATGCTTTCTTGTTAGGAACAAAGGCACACACACGAATAGAAAACAAGAAAACAATAAATTACACAAGAGATTTACGTGGTTTGGTCTAATCTGACCTACATCGACAGGGCCAACCAGGGTTTGTATTATTGAGTGATGATGATTAAAAGTACCGGAGATCATATATATAGACAACTTATTAGGGTTTAACCCTTGCTGAACAAGTTATAGCAAATTGGGCTTAAAACCATTAACGCCGGCCGAACCCTAATACGGTCTCCTAATTTTCAATTGTCTATAAGTGTGGGCCACTTTGGGCCAATGACTACATATCACCAACAATCTCCCACTTGGAGTCTTTGGACCAAACTGTGGCTCCTCTCTGTACTTCTGTAAATGAAAAATCCCCCTTGATCTTCAAATCTCCCTAGTTGCCCCTCTCCTCAACACTATTCGGGAGAGACCAGCTTTAGCTTATCAAGCATTCCCCTCTGCTGGATTCTAAGCACCTGAGATGTTCTTCAACTTGACTCTTCCTTTATTGATCGATCCTCTCACAAAGTGATACCTTATCCTTATGTGCTTCGTCTTGCTATGATAGACTCAAATTTTAGCAAGTTTCACTGCACTCTCATTATCACAGTAATCCGACGGTTGTTTGCCCAACCTTTTAAGAAAAGTCTTCAACCAGACTAGTTCTTTACTGGCCTTTGCAACAGCCATATACTCGGCCTGTGTCGTAGATCACGCCACACTTTTCTGAAGTCTAGACATCCAGCTCACTGCTGTTCCCCCCACTGTAAAGACATACCCGGTAGTGCTCTTAAATGTCTCTCTACAATCACCCAAATGAGCATCTGTAAAACCTTTGATAATAGCATCCTTCCCTCTGAAACATAAACCCATTTTCTGGGTTCCCTTAAAATATCGAAGTACTCATTCTACAACTTCCCAATGTTCTCTACCTGGATCTGACATAAAATCGACTAACAACCCCAACAGCATGAACAATATCTGGTCGAGTGCAGACCATGGCATACACGAGGCTCCCAACCTTGATGCATATCGAACTTTAGCCATTTCTGATCTTTCTTCTTCAGATTTAGGTGACTGTTCTTTCGTTTGCTTCCAATGACTTCCCAATTAAGAACATCTAGGCTTGGTCTTCCCGTTATTCATTTTGAATCTCTCTAACACCTTCCCTAAAATCCCTATATATTTCTTGTGGGACAGGATTAGAGAACCATCCTTGTATTTGATGATGCTCATCCCGAGTATGTGTTTGGATGGACCCAAGTCTTTCATCTCAAATGCTTGAGACATTTGTTTTTTCAACTTGCTTATTTCTTCCATATCAGATCCTGCAATCAACATATCATCAACGTATTGCAATAAGATGATGTAAGAGTTGCTGAATTTCGTCATATAGCAACAATGATCCATCTCACATCTTTTAAACCCCGACCTCTCCATGAAGTTATCAAACTTCAGGTACCACTGTCTAGGTGCAGTTTAAGACCATATATGTTTAAGACCATTTAAGCTCCTTTTCAGTGTGCAGACCCATTTTTCTTTCCCGACAACCTGAAACCCATCAGGTTGTGCCATGTAAATATCTTCATCTAGATCACCATGCAGAAAAGCTGTTTTCACATCTAGTTGCTCTTTGGAAACAGCCTCTCTACTTTTTAGTGGGGGTAAGGTCTGCGTACACACCTCCCCAGACCCTACTCCTGTGGGATTCAGTTGGGTTGTGTTGTTGTTGTTCTAGATGTAAACTCTCTGCTGACAATAATCAAAACTAACCTGATCGTTGTCATTTTCACCTCGAGAGAAAAACTCATCAAAATCAACCCCCCTTTCCTGTTGAAACCCCTTGACCACTAAACGGGCTTTATACCGTTTAGACCCATTATGCTCTTCTTTGATCCTGAAGACCCATTTGTTCTGTTATGCTCTCTTATGTCGTCGAAGCTTAACCAAAACTCAAGTTCTGTAATCCTTCATCTTCTCGGGTTTCTGATATGCCAAATATGAAAGAAGATCTTTCTGACATAGCAAGTCCTCGACTTGCATCTTACACCATCCAAAATCTTGCCCATCAAACTTCTCTATCCTTATCTTTCCGTCATCAGACATCATCTCTTTTGACTTTTGAGTACCCAAAATCCGACCCAAGAACACGTGAGGATAGATTGAAACATACAACTAGACAGATGACTGTCTCGATGGTCTTCCGATGTGTCGGAGAAACCCTAGTCGCTAGGGTTGGCAGTGGAGGCTGATCTGTGTGTACGACCTAGGCTCCAATACCAGTTGTTAGGAACAAAGGCACACCCACAAATAGAAAACAAGAAAGCCATAAATAACACAAAATATCTATGTGTTTCGGTCTAATCTGACCTACTTCCACATGATGGTTACAAGTACAGGAGATCATATATATATATACACACACACACACACACACACACACACACACACATATATGTATATACATACACACACACACACATATATACACATACATACATACATACATATATACATACATACATACATACATATATATGTGTGTGTGTGTATATATATATATATATGGGATTGACTCCAGTGAGATGACACAAAGCTCACCACTAGTCACTGCAAAGCTCAGCAAAGACAACTATAAAGCTCACTAAAGTGTAAGGCAAAGCTCACCATATTTTTTCAACACTTTGAATTTTTTTCCAAAAAAAAAATCAAAGGAAAGGGTGCTGACTGGACTTTGACTGTAGACTGCCAGCATTGACCGCCGCCTGCCGCCGTCGTCGCCGGTCGCCGGCCTCTGCCGCCGCCGGTTGCCGGCCGTCGCCGCCGCCGCCTGTTGCCGGTCGCCGCCGCCGCCGCCGAACTCCGGCCGCCACTACTGCTCCGCCGCCCTTGACCGGTGGTTGACTGGTGTTGTTATTTTATTTTTAATTAATTTTTTAATTTTTAAAATTTAAAAAAAAAGGTGAGTTTTGGGGTTCAAAGTGGTGAGCTTTGCTTTATTTCCAGGTGAGTTTTGCATTGTCCATTGGTGAGCTTTGTAGTGTAGTGTGGTGAGCTTTGCTTTATTAGCTTTTTTTTTATTAAAAAAAGTGGTTAGCTTTGCATTGTTCCTTGGTGAGCTTTCCATTGACAGTTGGATAGTTGGTGAGCTTTACACTTTGACCGCCCATGACCAATGGCCACCACCGATGACCCCCACTATTGCCGTGGACCGGTGGTTGAGCGGTGGTTGAGTGGTGGTGTTATTTTTTTAACTTTTTTTATTTAAAAAAAGTGGTGAGCTTTGCATTGATAGTTGGTGAGCTTTGCATTGGTAGTTGGTGAGCTTTGCATTGGCAGTTGGTGAGCTTTCCATTGGCAGTGTTGTGTGTTGTGTCATCTCATTGAAGCATGTCATCTTACCACAAGGTGTCATCTCACTGGAGTCAATCCCTATATATATATATATATATATATATATATATATATATATATATATATATATAT